AAAAAAAAAATATAAAGATGATCGTACTCAATTCGACGATTAAAGATTTTGTAAAATCTGAAATTAATATTTTTATGAACTGAGAAGTATACAAAAAATGCTCTTGACAAAAAAAAGTAATTAGTAATTAGTAATTAGTGAAAAACTTACAATTTTTCTTTTTGTTTTTTAATAAATTCGGATTTTGATTTATTAACGTTTTTTAATAGTGTTACAGATCGTATGTAGTATAAAAAGCAAAGAACACAAATAAGCTGTGAATGTTGCTGATTTTGNGACGATTAAAGATTTTGTAAAATCTGAAATTAATATTTTTATGAACTGAGAAGTATACAAAAAATGCTCTTGACAAAAAAAAGTAATTAGTAATTAGTAATTAGTGAAAAACTTACAATTTTTCTTTTTGTTTTTTAATAAATTCGGATTTTGATTTATTAACGTTTTTTAATAGTGTTACAGATCGTATGTAGTATAAAAAGCAAAGAACACAAATAAGCTGTGAATGTTGCTGATTTTGAAGTAAAAAAATAACATGTTCGTACCACTTTTTTTCGAAATTCAGTCCCATTGTAGAATATAATTTTCTCGGAACCATTAAGCAATTTTTCGTGACTTTTTGAAAGCTTCGTATATTATTTTTCGAGCTTTTTGTTATTTTTTTGTTTTAATTTCGGGAACTTTCGGGATTCTTCGTTTAAGTTTTCGGTACTGGGATTTGTGGAACATTTTTGAGGTTTTTCTGGACGTTTCGGTAATTTTTTTTATGAACTTTTGTGAATTGTTCGGCATTCCTTTCGTGTAAGCTTTGAGGAAAACTTCGAAACTTTTCGGTATTCGGGTTTTAATTGTCGGGACATTTCGAGGTTTTTGGAACTTGTTTGAAGTCCTTCGTGTTTGTTTTTCGTGACTTTTTGAAAACTTTGTGTTTTTTTTTTTGAGATTTATGTCTTTTTGTAATTTTTCTGAACAGGAATTTTTTTAGAACCTTTCGGGACTATTCGTTTAAATTTTGGGAGTCGCAATTTTGAAGAAATTNCGAGTTTTTTGGAACTTTTTTGAAGTCCTTCGTGTTTGTTTTTCGTGACTTTTTGAAAACTTTGTGTTTTTTTTTTGAGATTTATTTTTTTTGTAATTTTTCTGAACCGGAAGCTTTTTAGAACCTTTCGGGACTATTCGTTTAAATTTTCGGAACCGGAATTTTAAAGAAATTTTTTGATTCTCCCGCATTTTTCCGGGTCTTTCGTTATTTTTTATTAACTTTTCTGGATTTCTGGGAAGTTTCCGAATTTTTTTCGAGGTTTTTTGGATTCGCTTTTTTGGAGCTTTTCGGTTCTTCTGGCAGGTTGTGAAATTTTTTGTGTTAATTTTTTCGGATTTTTTATTTTTGTAAACTTCGGTTTAGTAGGACTTCGCCGAATTTCTCTGGAACTTTCAGGTCCAAAAGTTTAGTTTAGTTTGGTTTACATACATTCAAAACAGGAAAGGCAAATTAAGAGTTGTGCTCAGTNTTGGATTCGCTTTTTTGGAGCTTTTCGGTTCTTCTGGCAGGTTGTGAAATCTTTTGTGTTAATTTTTTCGGATTTTTTATTTTTGTAAATTTCGGTTTAGTAGGACTTCGCCGAATTTCTCTGGAACTTTAAGGTGCAAAAGTTTAGTTTAGTTTGGTTTACATACATTCAAAACAGGAAAGGCAAATTACCAGTTGTGCTCAGTAAAAAAGTATCCATAATCGGCTTTCTAACAAAAAAATACTGAATGTCTAAACGTTACTAAAACGTTTTTTATGTTTTTATTATAAAAGGTACTTGCAAAATTACAAAATATTTTATTCAGAATTTTAATTTAACCTAACTTTTAAAAGAAAATGCTCTAAAATTACATGCAAATATGACCGAATAAAGCTTCACTTCACAAAAACGAATAGTTTCTCGACTTTTTTGTTAAGAAGTTTAATTTTATTAGTAAAAAAAATATGGTAAAAATTGGTCAACATATGGAACCCATTCTGGTGTAGCTCAGTAAGACATACGACGCACAGACGTGATAAATACAGTAGTTGGCAAAATGAACAGAGGCGTAGAAACTAAAATAAGGCTATTATCCGCTATAATTCATAACTGAATTATCCTTTTGCATATATAAAAGCAGTGGATATAGGAGATG